CTGTATTCCATTTTTCTAATGGATTTTCAGAATATGTTTTAGAAATTTCTTTTTTCAGTTTTTCTAACCTATTTTTTGTTGTCATCTTTAAGACTGTAACTGGTTTAAATTTTTCTGTACTCCAACATCCACCACGCTGGGTTGAGAAACTCTGATGGTTTATATTTGTATATGCTATTGTAACAGCTTTATTTATTTTAGGTGTAAATATTTTATGTGCACAAGGTGTTGTGACCATATACTTATCAATATATTGTGTAAATAGTGCATATTTTAATAGGAAGTTTTGTCCTAATAAAATATCACATCCAATTGTGGTTGACATGTATATTGTATCAACAAATACTTCTCTAAAGGAAATTAGAAAAGGTACTTGCATAGCATATTTACTGTATATTACCTTATTTCCACCTGCTGTTGTAGCAGTGACTATCTTCTTTGAATTGTATATCCAGTATTCAGATGGTAGTACATTTGGTAAGCATAAGCTTATTGTACTTCTTGTATCTAAGTAAGTATGAAATTTAATTCTACAATAACTTTTTATATTAAGTGTAATTTCAATATATGGACTCATGGGATTAGTACTTATTACTCTTTCCATGATAACAATGATTTCATATTTTCATCTATTCTTGAGATGATAATTGGGTTATCATCTACTGTTATTTTTAAATATCCTTGGCAGATTTTATAAGGACTATATTTCTCAAGAAAGTTCATTCCTAGTAGAATAGGTGACCGATATAATTCATCTTTATATAGAATTATTTATTTAGTATATTCTTTCTGATCCTCTCCTATAAGTATAAGAGGGAACTTAACATATTTTCTTATTTCAAGATTATTTCCTAAATAATCCTTAAATATATATGGTTCTGGTATTTCAAAGTCTATTAAATGACTAACAAATTTAGCATTTACATGACTTTTATCTACTCTAGTATCTATGAGGACAAGAAGATTATTCTTCTATCCTTCTTGATTTACATATCTTGTCTTAATGTAATATTGCGAACTTGATGGTTCAACAACACTTAAATTCTTAAGTCTACTTATTCTAGAGTCTTGTCTAGAGGGAAATCTTGCAATAAGATTATCTCCTTCTAAACTGACACTATTTCTTCTTATTAGTTTTTCTTCAGAATTAATTTCTCTAACTTATTTGTGGAAATCAAGCATTATCTGTTCTGGTATAGTGACTTCATATTCTTGGTATTTCCTAAGAGGTATATATTGTGCTAATTCCTCAAAATCTTTATGTATGATAATGTTATCAGTTATTTTTCTTAAATTGTTATGATGGCTAGTACTAAAAGCAAAAATTGATTTTATGCTTATACTAATAACCTTATTTCTTCGTAACATTTTTAAGTTTCTAATTCTATAGTATAGATTGAAACTTTGGTCAATATTTTTATCATTTAATGATATTGCATAATTTGGTTTAACTGTAAATATTATCTTCTGATAGATTAAGTTTCCTACAACTGTTCCTAATAGAGCATCAATAGGATCTTGTAAGATTCTATTGTCCATACAGTATATTTCTATTGGTATGTTCATACCTTCTCTGAAGAATCCTTTTACCATTATCTGGATTTCTCCTAATTCAATACATTTTAATTTGTTTCTTACATTTTCTGGGATTTTGGATAATTTTTGTTTTACCCATTCTTTTGTAATTATAGGAATTCTTGCTTTTCCTATAGTATCTTCTATATTGATAGACATTTCTTTATAATTCATACTTACAATTGTTTTATTTACTCTTGGTAAAATTCCAAACAATCCTTGATGGAATGCATCTTTTTCTTGTAGGTCTAATATTTTCTTAGTAATTCCTGTGTATTTTTTAATATCAAAGGTGATCTCTTGATTTATACCTTCTATAGAATCTTCAACTTCTTCAGTTGTCTCTATTTCTATTTCTGATTGTTGTATCTCCTGATTCATATATACTATCTCCTCATAATCTTCTTCTGATGAGGATGTATCTAATTCATAAATGCTACTGCATTCACTACTTAGATCTTCAAAATATTCAATTGGTTCTATATCACTATCTTCTTGGAATTTTTCATAAATTCTAAGAGTTTATATATTTTGTCTATATTTCTTTTTTAGGATATTGAGGGGCAATATGTCCATCTTCATTATAAATAAAACATCTACATTTTTTAATGTTTCTTGGTTTAAATTTTTTATTCCAATTTCTTTTCTTGAAATATTTTTTATGTGGTTTAAAATTCCCGTTCTTGAATTTTTTGTAGTTTTTAAATTTTCTTTTATATTTCTTATATGGTTTATATTTCTTCTTATGGCATCCAAATTGTTCAACTTGGTCATTATCTTTGTAACAACATAATGAATTCTCTCTTATTTTATATGCTTTTTTATTTTCTAAAGTTTCTTTACACCATATGCCTAGCATTCTTTTTGTAAATTCAACTCTACTTCCAAGACTATCTATTTTTACTCATTCCTTTTCTCCTAGAGGTAATAATTTTTTATATTCTTTTAATAACTTAATTCCCCATGGGAATGGTAACTTTGTAAAATAAGACCTTAATATATGTTTATTTTCTTGGTAATCTCCTTGGTTTAATATATATTATATTTCTTCAAATTTACATGTATATCTTTCTAACTCACACATATCACATATCTTTAAATTTTTCATTGCTATCATTCCTTGATTATATTCATCTTGTTTTCTTTCTTCATCATTAGAAGTATATCTATCTCCTAAGAATTCTGTTCTTAAGATTTTTTCAAATCTTTTTAATATTTCCTGTATATTTTGTTCATTTAAATAATTTCTATTATCTAATACCTTAATTCTACCTGCTCCATACTTTATTTTTTTCCTTTAATAGTTTCAGGTAATTTTCTCCACCATTCAGAAACAATTCCTCTGAATGTATGTTCGATAAATTCAAAGGCTGTATACGTTTCCCATTTATTAAATTGTATTGCTAAATCTGCACTTTTCATCTATGTTTCAATAGCTTTATTTTTATCTACACAGTCTAAATCTAACTATATTCCTGTCGTATGGATAGGTTCATTATAAGATTTCATTGGGTTTATTTCTTTTATGGATCGTTTTCTTACATTTCCAGTATATCTTTTCTGTGTTTTTCTATATTGGTAAATTCCATCCTTATTAGGTATTAGGGTACCATAAGGATAATCAATTTCTTAATCACTACTAAATTCTACTTTTATATTCTTCCTTGAAGATGGATTAATATTCATCTTTGTATTTTTCATTTTTTCAGTTAATTCTTCTAACTGTTTTTTATATTCTTCATACTCTTCACCTGTAAATTATAAAAATTTTTGTTCTATTTTTTCTACATCTGTAATCATATATTGTTTTTATTCATGTTTTTTCCCTTTATTATTTTCTTTTTGTGTTATCCTAAAATCTTGAGGTGGATTAATTATAATCCTATCTTTTCCTTTAAGACTTTTATCTAAAAGAGCGTTTCCTACTTGTAAATTATGTTCCAGATTTTCTAATCTTTTGTGTATATCTCCAAAACTTTCATTTGTAGTGTTTTTAAGTAAATAGGGATAACTAGGTTTTTTTTTATGTTTTTCAACTTTTTTCAAAAATTCTTCAATTATATTTTCTTCATCTACTATATTCATCATTATTTTTGGTTCGTAACATGGTTTTGATACCATTTCATCGGAGTGTGCAGCGGAGGGGTTAAGATTTTTGAGCCAATTAAAATCTTCATAAGTAATTAAAATATCACAATAGAATTTATAAAATTCACTATTTTCTATTAATACTTTTTCTTTAATAATTATATTTAGTTCTTTAATTTTTCTTCTCAAATTAAGAATTAGTTTACATATATCATTTTTTGTTTTAATTGTTCTATTATCTATAGAAACATTTTTATTTTTTAATTTTGGATCTAAATATTCTGTAAAGAAACCTTTCAGATCTTCTTCTAAATATTTTAATTCATTTTCTGTTGCATTTTTTAAATCAATAAAATTTTGTATAATATTTGGGTTTAAATTTATTAAAATTTTTTTATCTATATTTCTTTGAGGACCCAATTGAAGATTTTTATACATTATAGTGGCTTTGGTTGCAATTTCACAATAAGGGGTATTTTTGGAAAATATATTGTTAAAAGGCTAATCTTCAAATGTTTATAATTTTTGGTCTAATTTTACAAACCTACCTTCTATTTAGGTTATCTAGAGGTATTTCCTCCTTATCTGGTGCTGATTTTGTGGTCGAAAAAATGATTCTTATTACTGCAGCCATTTTTTTACTACAACTCTCACATGTGAGCCCCAGTTGACCAAAAAGGGTCAATTTTTTTTATTTTTGGTAAGGGGGGAGAAGCTGCAGTCTCTTAGCCCTCATTTGGCCTATTACATCTCATCAAATTAAAATAATTTTTTTCTTTTCTATTTTCAATCACACAATTTTTAATAAAATAATATTATACATAGATAAAAAACTTTTCATTCTTTTACAACCATCCATTTAAAAAAACACATTATTCTCCCATTATAATCAAAATTAATGGGGGCCAAACGGGAGCTTAATATAAAAATTTTGTTCTAATACATACATGTCGCTGTTTTATTTTGCATTTTCGAGGGAAAAAGGTGGATCGGCTGATCTTTTAGAGGTAATAGTTTCCCTTTTTATTCAACATTTGTCATCTCTTTGGCAAACATAAAGTCTTCATTGTCTATTAAGTTTTAATAATTTCTTGGAACCTTAATTCTCTAATGACCAATTCTTTGACGCCAAACACTAGTTATATATAAGACTTTTCTTTTTCTCTAAATAAATTTTGTCATTCCTATACATTTGACTGATGGACGCGTGACACTTTTGAAAGCAGTGAATACGCGCGTCTTCGCCCTCTCTATCAACGGCCGACCAGCCAAAAATCTTTAATGACAGCAGAGTTCACCAAGTCGCTTCTCATCCATTTATAAGCAAGTAAGATACGGAAATTATTTAGATGCTAAAAGACAACTTGCTGTAAGCAAACAATATAGGAAAGTTGATAAGTACGAAAAAGAAAATAGAAGAAATGAAAAGGCCTGTCTAAATCAGGCTGGTTCATTCTTCTTTGATGGCTTGTGGCTCATGATTTAGCTCAAACTTGCACCCTTTGAATTTCTGTACAGAAACGCTGCCAATTTTCGTCGAGGATGATCTAATTCTACTAGACCCACAAAACTAAATAGTGGAGAATTTGTCTGTTCTTGGTAATCAGAAATCGGTTCATCAGAGCAAGAATCAAGAAGCATTGGCTTGATCATGATCACGGGTAAGAGTCTGAATTCTCTTGTTCTATGCATCCTTGTTGTGCTTTACCGTTGCCCTTTATTTTGCACATCAAGAGACAACATTACAGCAAATCTAGTTATTAAAGACCCTGAAACTCTAGTGTCTAAGGGTAAGCACTTCAAATTGGGATTTTTCAGTCCTTTTAATAACTCCAGCCGTTATTTAGGTATTTGGTATAACCAAAATGTTTCTGAACCTACTGTGGTGTGGGTAGCAAATAGGGATAAAGCTTTGAATGATTCTTCTGGTACTGTGAAGATATATAAAGATGGGAATATTGTGGTTATGAGTGGGGACAAGGAAATTCTTTGGTCATCAAATATTAAAAATGCTACGATGAATACGGCTGCCCAGCTATTGGATTCTGGTAATCTTGTTTTGATAGAATCTTCGAGTGGACGTAAAATATGGGAAAGTTTTAAGCAACCTTCGGGCTCATTCTTGGCAGCAATGAAAATAAGTCGCAGTATTAACGGAGTTGAGAAGGCTACTACTTCTTGTGGTAATGGCACATGTGGGCCATTTGGGATCTGCGACTCACAAAACTCGCCTATTTGTGCCTGTTTGGAAGGGTTTAATCCGAAGGACGACGGGGAATGGAAAGCAGAGAACTGGACAAGTGGATGCGTGAGGAGGATACATTTGCAGTGTGAAACAAACAATGGCTCCAATGGTGGGGGCAAAGAAGATAGGTTTTTGAAGCTAAAAATGATGAAATTCCCAGATAATGGCGATCGGCTGCCTGGTCAGGAATCTGAATGTGAAGGTCTGTGCATGAAGAATTGTTCCTGCAAAGCCTATGCTCATGACGTTGGTACTGGCTGTCTGTTCTGGACTGGAAGCTTAATTAACATTCAAAAATTCTCTGCAGGCTCGGATCTTTTCATTCGACTGGCAAATTCGGACGTTGGTAATTGTTGCATAAATTTTGTGCTCTTCTTGTTGTCCCTATAAGGATATTGTTTGTTATTTTAAAGCTAAGAACAGCTAAGTTTTTCTTCTTCAATATGATGGTTGTTCTTTTTTGCAGGTCATAAGAAAGTCTTTAAGTTAGTCATAATAATTATGGGTTTCGATGGTTTGATTTCCATATCCATTATCATATTTTTTTCCAGGAAATTCATGGCTAAGCCAAGAGGTAATGTTTAGAAATTTCACTGAACCAGGCATATATATGCAGCTAGCACTTAATAACTTTTCTCCTGAATCAGGCAGCACAATGACATCAGAACATGGGGATATAAGCAATGCTAGCATTGAAGAGTTACCAGTATTTAAATTTGAGATGCTTGCAAATGCGACAGACAATTTCCACGATGCTAAGAAGCTTGGAACGGGCGGTTTTGGTCCAGTTTACAAGGTTATTTTTCTTCCTTATCCATCTCAAGTATCACGGTTCATGGAATTTAGAAGTTCTGAAATTGTTGCTCCTATTTAGGGCCAATTGGCAAATGGTAGAGAAATTGCAATCAAGAGGCTCTCAAAAGTATCTACACAAGGGATGAAAGAATTTATGAATGAAGTGAAGTTGATTTCTAAACTCAAACACCGGAACCTCGTTAGACTGCTGGGATGCAGTGTTGAGAGGGGAGAGAAGATGCTGGTCTATGAATACATGCCTAATAAAAGCTTGGATGCACATCTCTTTGGTCAGTGCAAGATTCATCCCTTCCTCTGAAATTTTAAAATTAATTCGATTACAACACAGTCTACACAGATTTATGTTAAAATGGGGTTCAGAATTTATATATAATGCGTTCTTTTCATCCGGGTGTTTTCCATATAGGTCCATCACAAGAGATCTTAGATTGGAGATTACGTTTCAACATTATTGAAGGTATTGGCCGAGGCCTTCTTTATCTTCACAGAGATTCTAGATTGCGGATAGTTCATAGAGATCTGAAGCCAAGTAACATATTGCTGGATAATGATTGGAACCCAAAGATTTCAGACTTTGGCATGGCAAGAATTTTTGAAGGCAACCAAGATCATGCCAGCACTGTAATAGTGGCAGGAACATAGTAAGTATATATTTGCGTTTGGTCGATTTGAGATGCTAGTTTTCATTTATTTCTGCCATGAGTTTTCATTTAGCTTTGAATGATTAATGCAATAACTTGAAAAGTAATTTTGAGATTTTTTTTCATGATATTGATTCAGTGGATACATGGCCCCTGAATATGCAATGAAAGGAATATTTTCAGAAAAATCTGATGTCTTCAGCTTTGGAGTTTTGATGCTAGAGATAGTTAGTGGAAGAAGGAACACGAGCTTCTGTGAAGATGAGAGCTCTTTGAGCCTTCTGGAATACGTAAGTTAAATATATCTCTTCATATTGTGACTGAAAATGGTCAACTTAAAATTTCCCAATTTGTATTTGGGGCATGAGATTTTTTCGTTTGAATTGTCACTCTGCTTTTACCTTTTCATTTTTTTTATTGTTTTTTTGGAGCTAAGATAGTTACTTGTTGTTAGTTGAAAGGAGGGCCAGAGCGTACGTTGCGCTTATGCTCGACTCGACTGACCAGAAAGAACTGTTATGCTCAAGCAGCACCTGACTGATGATAAATTTACTCCGAATCTGATTATCTGAACTTAAAAAAGCCTCCTATTTTCTTGCCTATAATATCCAATAGGCGTAATTGTGGGCATATGTCACTGGAATTTTTAGTTTTCCACTTAACCTGGTCGGCTTCAGGTGAATTTGATTTGGTAAATGGGTTTGGAAAGTTTGTTGCATTACAACCTTTATAATCTTCCAGTTCTCCCCACACCACTGAACAAAACTTCCACACATACACACACACATATCTGTCAACTGAGATTTTTTTTCTTTATATGTTAGTATTATGTCTGAATATACCCCCATATGATTCTTTGTCGAGACTCACACGTAGAAATTTCAGGCATGGAAGCGGTGGAACGAAGACGATGTTGTCGCTTTAATAGATGCAAGGATATTGAGTCCAAGCTACCGTGCAGAGATCATGAGATGCATACACATTGGCTTATTGTGTGTCCAAAAACTTCCAAAAGATAGGCCAAATATTTCTGTCGTTCTATCAATGCTTAGCAGTGAAATTGTCGAGCTTCCTGAGCCGAAGCAAACCGCATTTACAGAATCTTCTCAGCAGAGACAAAAGAGGAGTATTTCCTTGAATAATGTCACTCTTACAGAAGTCGATGCACGATAAAATCAGTAGTGATTTTTGGTAAATTATGCTGAATGTGATTTTTGGTAAACGCAGATAAACATATTGATAGTTTCAAACCTTTCATCTGAGGGAGAAAATGATAGGGAAAAAAAAGAAGTAATATTGTAATTAATATTTATGTCAGTTTAATTAGTTGAAGCAAAATCACTTATAAGAATAAGATATTAACAATGGTGACTTAGTTTATTGTGAAACATTAAACCAAAATTATAATGACTTTATGTGTTTGTTGTTGTGAAGATCTTATTTTTGCCCAAAGTTTGATTTTGTCGTCTAGTCATGCTTTACATTTTTTTACTTCTAGATCCATTTAGGCTCGTAAAAGTTTGAAACATGGCATCACCATCTAATCGGACTTTATGCTATTTAGAACATTGTTCGTAAGTTAATAAAATTAAAATCAAACATAATTTCCTTGTAAAGGAGTTGCTTGCTTGCTGCACTAAATTCGGCTATTTATTTATTGAATTTCGACCTTTTAGTTGCAAAAGAATATTGCGCAAATAAGTTATTTTCAACTAAACAAACTCCAATCAGTAAAAGGAAGACCTGAATTAAACAAACTTTCCTTTTATTGAAGTTGCTTATTAAATTGCATACTTTCACCTACCTTTTCGAAAAAAACCGGATGTATAGAACAATTTTTCGCAGAAAGATTACAGATTGACACAAGATGGTGGACCCCACGTATATTAAAATATTGCAAAAAAAACCCAATTACCCCTGCATGTGTGTGTTCTGTGTGTTCTATACCAATTTTGTAGCCACCATTTTCTGTAAGTGTAGCTTTGCTCTACCTTTTCTATAGCTTGTCATCATGATGTAACCTCAATCATAAAATACATAGAAAAAATAATGTAATATGAAAATTAATCATATCCCCTCCAAAATTATGATTAGGTTAACGATGCTTACGATAAGAGAGAAGTTGGTCGAGGGTGTTTGATAGTGATTAAAATTATATTTTTTAGTGGATTGTAATAGAAATTTTTGAAATGTGTAGTTGAAAAGTTGTGAAACCCATAAAAAATGTGATTAATATTAATTATTTAATTTTGACTTAAATCAAAATCAAATTTTAATCTCTTCCAAACAAGTAACAACTTTTAGTAATTATCTACAAATTGATAATTACAATGCTGGGGCCGGGAGATTAGGCCAAAATAGATGTCAACATGTCGGGCCCCGTCGAAATGACGTGGTACTTCGAGTGACCTCTGATTATAGACCGTGGGCCACCCTAAGTACAAAACAATTGAATAAAGTAATATACATTTAAGGCCCGTTTGGTAGGGATTTTGAGAATTGATTTTTTGACCGTTAGAAGAAAAGTGGGGTCCACATGTGAGAGAAGAAGTCAAAAATTAAGGCTTGAATAGTAAAATAACGGTCAAAAAATTAATTTTTTGAAGCAAAAAATCCCTACCAAACGGGGCCTTAATAAAGAGCAAGACTTTAGATACATTAATATAGCTAAGTCATTGAAAACGTGAGAAATCAACTAGGTTGACATGACACACTCCACTCAGAATTACGTAATAAGCAGTGTTTGAAAAGCGTGCGTCTAAACACGAAGCGGGGATAAGGCATTTCGGGAAAAAAAAAAAATTTTGAACTCCAAGTTTGAAGGACCCTATCGTCCCGTCTCTAGAGTATCGTGAGGGAGTTAAATCACAGGATATGTCCCAACATGTCAGAGAACAGGAGCTTGCCCGTACACTGGTGTCCACAAAGAATCAAATTCTATATCTCAGGAATCGAATCCTCATACTGTGGCCGCCAATAAGGTTAAGACTATCTCACTCTTATCCTTTACATCACTGGATTATGTCCCGAGGACGGGAATAAGGCATTTTGTCTTAGCAGTAAGAATGAATTAAGCAAATAACATATGGGAATTTTACATTAAAATCTGTGGATTAAAGTAGTGTTTTAAAAAGCCCGTCTAAGGGGGAGGTGGGAAAAGGGCGCTTTGCTTTAGTAAGAGTGAATTAAGCAATCAACTTAAAATGACTTTATCCCATAATTATGTAGATAAAATTTAAGTTACTGTACAATTTATATTATGTAATTATGATTTTGAAACATATCATATTTTTGAAAACTTCAAAAACATATATGAAATTTCTATAAATCTATCAAATATGACTTGTCTGGTTGAAATGTGATTATGAAAAATCATTTAACTTTTACATTTTGAAAACTTGGAAATTGTATAATTGTTTAATTGTAGGAATTATTAAGTAAATATATAATTTACTAATTTTACATGTTTGGTATGTATTATTTTAAATTAAATAATTTTTAGAATGATTTAAGTATTTAAAAAAATAAAAATAAGTAACACTAAGCCTTGCCTAAGCTCGTAAAGTTTGAAGCCAAATCTTCACGCTTAGTCCCACTTTACGCTTTTTGAATACTAATTATAAATATATAAACTCCTCACTCTTCAGTTAGCTGTGTGTATAATTGATAAATTATATAATGAAACAAGACACTAATTAAACACCTTCAATTGGCTAACAGATTATTTTGGAACCTTTTCTTGTAAATTCCTACTACACCAAGAATAATCTGAAAGAACAATAGGACCTCAAGTAATGCATCAAAATAATGCACAAATTCTCAAAAATCAAACTTTAGTTGCAAAATTATCGTTATTGTATTGAATTACGTCGAGAATGAATAAAAATATAACAAATCAGCTAATCCAAGCCAAGCTAGCTGATAGTTTGGCATCCATTAGTATATATGAAATATGGCATGAACCCCCCCCCCCCCCCCCCCCCGCCACCCAACACACACAAAATAAAATTGTTTATGCATGTCCCTTTTTCTTCCAGGCACAAACAGAAGAAATGGCTAAAGATTTAATTACTATATGTTGAACAATGTAAAATATAACTGCTACTCCCATCCCGCTGTGTCAAAGAGGAAAGGAATTATTCCACTATTTTAGTAACAGGTTTGGTTTAACTGATTAATGTCTAATTCTGATAAGGCGTATGATGTCTTTCAAATGACAACCCAATTAATGGGTGCTAAAATCAAGGACAGGACTAGTGGCATGCACTCAACTCTACAGAGTGGACTTTGTGATTAGAATTTGTAATTTCCTTGGCTAAGAATCAAAATTTCACATCTGGAAATGTATAGTGAGTAATTATTGTAAATCAGGTTTTATAGTTGTTGAAATGTGAAGAGGTCGGAACATCACAACATTGAAGGAAATAAAGAAATGCGGAAAAAATGAAATTACAAGTCACCTTAAAAATTTCATCCCATGTAAGACCCACTTGTTCTCATAACATTTTAGTTGAGATCTGAAAAGGACCTTAACCAAGAAAAGATGAGGTGTCTGTATCCTAACGGTTAAATGATCACCATCACCCCAAGTTTATTATATACGCAACCTATTTGTTCATGGGATTCATGGACACAAAGCATAACAATGTCTTCAGACTGAAGACAGTTTTGAATCTTTGCAAATATATAGTTAGGCAAGTGTGGTGGAGGAAAACCATTAATAAGCTAACAGTCCATTTAATAATGATAGAATTGGGATACAAAATTATGATGCAATCATTAACATGTCCAACATTTAGTTGAAGTTTACAAACTTACTCTTTTACCCATCTTGAAAACTTCATTATGTATAGAAGAAATTTCCTTCATAGGACACTTTAAGAGTAAGCAAAAGAAGTTTATCCACCACTTTTAGGTATGGCCATCTCCTTTCAAAAGTGTTAACAAATTCTACATCTTCCTTTTTGCACGAATTCCAAATCATCAAGCATTCTCGTCAAACTAGACTAATTAACAAGAATGCCTTGTCCATTTAGAAACTCTATCTCTTCCTTTTTGCACGAATTTTGAACCGTATATAAGCATTCTAGTCAAACCAACAAAGTTGACAAGAATTTTCTAGTTCATTTAGATGCTTTCTTTTCCTTTTTGCACAAATTTCAAATCATCTAAGCATTCTCGTCAAGCTAGAAGTTGGCGAGAGTTCCATTTAGACACTCTGTTTTCGGTTTTCCTTGTCAACTTTGCCTAGATTGCCTAAAGAACATTTTAGTAAAAGGTACAGTTATGTTAAAATTTTCCTTTTGTGGATATAAGAAGGGTAAAATAATAATTTCCACAAACTTGAAATTTTTATCTCCTTCACTTCCCCCCTGTCTAACATTACAAATCCAATTCCCTCCCACTCTCCTTCCTTACTAAAGGGATGGAAAGAACATCCCTGTTACTTTCCATTTGTCCCACATTCCACGCCTTATACCAAAGACGCCCTAAGGATTTTACATTGATAGAGGGTGTACACTACAAATCTGAACTCACAAAGATTTAATGCAGGAAACACCACTTTTTTCATAACAGATCAAAAGAGTCTACAACCACCAAAATAACACAAAATAGATTGCCAACATAATGAAATAAGAGCATACAACAAAACTGCTATTATTTTCTCCCATTTCCGGTCCACGGGGTTTGCCTACAGTTACTGAAGAGGATTGAGCTCACTAGTTTGTGGGGAGGTCTAAGATGTTGCTCCTCAATGGCATATGTGGTTTATGTTCACAAACAAGTAAGAATACAGTTTAACAAACAACTGCTGAGTTCCTCCAGGAAAAGAGAGGGGAAGAGAAGAGTTTACCCACTGCAGTTTCTACTACATTTAAAAAAGTTGTGCGTTAAGTCTTTTCCAGTTCTTCTGGTTAAAATTCAATTTAGATCAGGCATGAATCCATAAATCAAGTGTGGTATAATGGATTTTCTAGTTGCAGTTTTAACAACGGATATTGCATTTCAGTTTTCAAATTTATAATTTGTCATCTTACTGAATTCCACTCTTCTAACGAAAACTAGATCAGGCCATTGCTATAACTGCACTTTGAATGAGAACACATAGGCCAATCACAAATTACAATCCTTACCTCTTCATGAATTTTAGTCATCTCTCGAGCAATGACACATCGCCTGTGATAAATTCAAAGGAATTAGACAATGATCTGATATATTGTATCTCTTCAGTTTTTCACTTACAGAAATAGATGAGAATATAAAGAATTCAAAATGTTGAAGTAGGAATCTCATTTGCTGTCTGATATTGCAAGCAATAAGAAGAGGTCGAGTGACAAAAGGGATAATATTAGTCAGGAAGGACTATTTTAAGTGTCCCGTTTGAGACAAGTCAAACAACTAACTTGAAAAGGAGTTTACAATCTAGTTTGAATTGGCATATGTCCTTAGTTAAAAAAATGAACAAATAAAGATAGTGTACACACTATGAAATTAATTTTCCAGATGCAAATCAGTTCTAGAATCCCCTCAGAACAGAAAATGAAGAACCACGACATGTGAAAGATAGCTTGAGTTTTCATTACAACTAGGAACATCAAACATCTCAAATGCCACAGTATCTGTTTTAATGGAAAAGTCTTCAAACTTATAGTTACAGCAATTTTGATACAAATGGCACCACAGTCCTCAACAAGATTTACCTTAAGTCACCAAAAATTGAAGAAGCCTCTTCAAGAAATTGAGAGAGCTTGTGAGGAGGAACAAAGAAGACCTGAGTGGTTACTTCTTTTGCAGACACTGTCAGCCTCTCTCTTCTCGTTCCAGTGTGTTTAGGCAGAAAGCCAACTGCATGGATGTTGTACACAATGTATCACGATAATCGAGCAATTGACACTAGTACCAAAGTTTTAGAAAATACCAAATGTGAACTCATTAGTTGATAGACCTGACGCAGAAAGCGCAGCTATCAAAGCAGATGGCCCAGGGATTGGAATAACAGGTATATTTTTATCCACGCACAACTTTGCCTACATCCATATTTCAAAATGCCATACATGAGGCCAGTATCCCTGATATCACATTCGTACACGTACGGTAAATACAGGCAATACATTCAAATGCTACATGTGAAGTGTACAATGGAATATCACAGCATTGATATGCATCTCACCAGTTCCATTCCAGGATCACTGATACCTGGTGTCCCCGCATCACTTATTAGTGCCACAATTTCACCATCTTGCAATCTCTTCAGCACTATTTGTTCTCGTTGAGACTCGTTAAATTTGTGATAACTCAACTGAAAATCTAACTCACAATATCAGAAAATAATCCACACAAATACATGTATAAATCAAACTAATATTCTACAGAAAACACATAAATTAGCAGTGAATTACAAGTGGGGTTTTAATACAGTAGTGCTGAAGCAACTTCCCAGAGTGCCTAGTGTCTTCCGAAAGTATGATATCAGCTGATTTCAACACTCTCAAAGCTCTGTGAGCATTAATTAAAATTTTAATTTTGCAAAAATCAATAAAAGAAAATGCATGAAACACAACATTCAGTGCTTCAATAAGATTACACTTCACACAAGTTACTCACCTTAAAGTTATATCTTCAAGATTACCAATTGGGGTTCCCACTAGATATAATCCTGGTTTCAAAGGACTCTACCAAAAAAATAAATAAATAAATAAATAAATAAAAACATGAAATTTTTCTAAGAAACAAATTTTCAGTACTTATTATTTCTTATTCTTCTTATTTGCTATGGCCTATGAGTATGTGCAAATCATAAATACTAAGCTTTCATGATAAATTTAAAAAAAAAAAAAAATCATAACTTTTATCAACCTTTTAACTAATCAAAATTTAATTTTAAAATTATATTTCATGAAATTTATAAACTTTTTATCGCCAAATTTCATCAAATTTTCTCAAAATCTGATAAAAGTTTTACAAAATACTTATCACATAGCCACTACATATGCAAATCCTTTAGGACCGTTTGGATTCTTATGATCGATGTTTTACACAACCTTAACTGTGCAGTATCACACACTTTTATATAAAAAGAATTACTTACTTTGTACGATAAAGTAAATTTCAATGCATGGAATCATGAACAAGTAATAAGGTGGTGTGTAGAGTGTCGAATCCAGATGACTATGTGTTTGATCTAGTTAAAACTAACAATGCCCTCAATCAAATAGCAAAATCAAATTGTAACTAAACACTATTAAATCTATTAACTAACTTAAAAGCAATATGAAGAAAATTTATTAAATTTGTGAGACATATTGCTAAGATATAGAATTCCTCTTGTTAATCCATTTTTAGTTCAAAAATTTAGATGGACAATTTGAAATTATGCTTGTTAGTCAATGTTCCTATTTTATTTAAAAACTTCTCTCGATAGCAATTAAATCTAATCATACATGTGATGTTCATATATCTCTATGAAAAATACGAACGTACAAGAAAGCATTAAACGAGCTAGAACATCTATAAAAATCATGTGACGCATACATGTATATCTATATCCTCTATCGAACTTCACAATATTTATTACTATGTGCTACTAATTTTATTATATCTCTCGATGACAATAATACCCACAAATAATTCAATCAATGGCCAATTATTTGAAAAGCGAACGAAACAATAATTAATATCTAAACAATTAAACAAATTATCGTCAAATTAATTATTCAAACTAAGAACTTCATAACAGGGTTCATCACATCCTAGCAATATTGAAAAGTTTAGCCAAACATATTGTCGAAATTAAATGCACACAAGTTAATAGACATCACCAAACTTTGACGAAACGTGATTAATTCTTCCTATTAAAGTTGCTGTCTTCTTCCTCATATTTGTCAAGTTCTACCCGTCTTCTGTGGGTGTATCGTAAACAGGTAGCACTCCTTTTTTCTTTTTTTTTTCCAGCAGGCAACTTGTTATCTTTTGAACTTCAATTCGATGCTTCTGTGCCTCTATGTATATATTAATCGTTTCGAATTCTTTTGTTTTTCCTTCCAATAGGCAGCTCGTTCTATTTCCTAATGCCGCCACGTTTCTTTGTCTGTATAATATATTTCTTAGTGCCCAATTCTGACTTTTTCCTTTCTCTGTCTGCGCTCGTGCATATATATATACACACACACACACACAAATACATACATAAATACATACATACATACATATTAACCAGCCTCAATATTTGATAACTTCCCTAGCAGCTGCAAGTATTGTCTTTTTGTCTCACCAAAACTGCCAATGTTGGACTCCAATTAATTTCACCTCCTCATCTTTTCTTTCTTTTCTGCGCGTGAGATGTATAGAACCTTGGCTGCCTCTTTTTTCTCAAAATTTTCCTAGAAAATTGTGGACTGTCCTCTATGTATATCAATTCCCCCTCCTTCTTGCCATCTAATATATATACACACACACAAGAATAATCTCCTAAACACCATGCTTAGCTTATATTAAGCATCAATGACATAGCACATCATTTAATTTGTGAATCATTAAATACATGTAACCTACTATTATCTTATTCATAAATTAAATAATATACCATGTCAACGGTGCTTAACATAAGCTAAGCATCGACACTTAGGAAATCATTCCTATATATATATTTCAATATGGTGGCCCTATAATTGACTCCAATTGGAATTTTACGTGTCCACTAAATTGAAGCCCAAGTGAGCTAGCTTTTGCTACCGAAAAAAAAAAATAATAATGAATTAATAGAGTCCAGCCCTTTTCTCTTTTGTGTGTCAATTGGGAGTCCAATTTCAAAGCCCATTAATATCACAATTTTTTTCAAGGCCTCATTTCTTCCAACTATGCAATTTAGTCCTTCAATTTCTATAGTGTAGACTTGATCCCAAAAACTTATACCCAATAGCTAATTGATCCTCGTTTCTTTTCCAAGTTGCTTCAAACAAGTCGAACACTAAAACAAATGAAAATTAACCCACATTAATTATAAAATCACTAATTTGACGATATACAAGTTTAGCAATATTGCATAAATAAGTGCACAAAATGCATTTATCAAACACCCCCAAACTTAAATATTTGTTTGTCCTCAAATAAAACTATAACCTAAATAACAACAAACACACAAGCATGCAAAAATATCTAGTTAGACAGTTGATTATGCCCAAAGCATAACGTGACGATTATAGTATAGCTTTGGGGTGTTGTATCCACAGGGAGATGGGAACATAGTTCAAAAGTTCAAAAGCTAGGGTTTTTCGATATGAATTTGTATGAAAATAATGTACCAATTTGAAATGTATTTTAAATATCAAAATGTAAGATAGCGAAGCATCGAAAGTCCCTCAATTGGTTCGGCCTAATCAATGTAAGTCACTTAAGTGTTTTACCCAATTAAAGATTTCTCATTCATAATGCATTGATTGGAAGATATGGCATACAAAATCCCTTTGATCCGACAATAGTTCTAAAATTAAGATTTCCAATACTGTATACATCATTTTAATCTATTGAAATCAAATAAAAAACTCATATACAATATGCATAAAATTGTAAAGAATTACACCAATAGGTAAATGAAATTAACATTCAATGAATAGTTCAATTCTTCGATAGAAGAAAGTGATTAATTCTATGAAGAACTTAGTACAAATTAAATCAATTTCATAATCTACTCATGAAAAACAAGAAATCACAATCTCAAAATTTTTTTAATAATAGGAATAATAAGACATTCATGAAGAAACATTAAAATACCAACACCAATCGAGTTTGTTCGTAGCTTTGCTTGGTTGTTCTTAGCCTTCCATGAAGTTTCTTGGCCAAAATGAGAGAAAAATGGAGTCCAGGTTCAATCCCCCACGTTCTGGAGCATTTTTGGGCTTAAGAAACGTGTCAAAACATGTTTCCATAAGTGATGGCGTCAATTTAGGAATTTGGTGAAATTGGTCTCGGAGGATAGCTATGCGGCCGCATGGTTATAAGCCATGCAGTTGCATAGAACAAATGTGTGGCGCCCAAAAGTTCCTTGGACCCTTCTATGCGGTCGGATAGCTTTTGAACTATGCGACCACATAGTTAAATTTTTTTCACCGGATAGCTTTTAGTGTTTTAGTTATAACTTTTGCTCTCGATGTCCAATTGAGAAGATTCAAGTTGTATTGGAAAGCTAACTTGAAGGGCTACAACTTTGCTTCAGACAATTCGATCATCTTCCATGTCAAAAATGGGTCTTAATGTGAGGCTGAAAACCAGTGCGTAACTTTTTTAATTGGGATTGATTTGTGAAAATGTTATGGTCATATTTCACTTCTTTTGACTTCAAATTACACCCAATTGACTCCTAGCTTTCTTGAATTATCATTCCATCACCCGTCTCATTATGGATTATTTGTAACTTGGTCCCTGAACTTTCACTTTCTTCCACTTTGACCCTTTTTACTCATTTATTCCAAATTTCACCTTTTCCATCAAATTGCGACCTAGATCAAAACATAAGAGTAATGAGTATATTTTGACATAACATAATCAAATGAATGCAACAATTAAGAGGGAAAAATATCATATTTTACACTCTTATGAACAGTCTAGCTATTTACTTTAGAAATTGAGATTACCGTATTAAATCTACAAACCGCTTCAAAGTCATAATACAAAATCAAAATCCACTTTTCCAATGTAAAATCGATGTGTCTGTGTGTGAAGAACTACGTAGACATTAATGATTTCATAAGTCGTTCCAGTTCTTGACCCTCAATGGTCAAATATATCCTTTTATCTCTCGTAAGATTCATACACCCCAAACTTATTCTTTTTCACTCTTTTCCTACCGTGTGATCCAATGTTGAATTTTTCATTACTATCCTCATTTTTTCCAATTCAAGTGAACGTCATTAATTGCAAGTCAACACATCAATGAATCAAGATTATCCAATTATTCGATTAGTTCGACCACCAAGACTCAACTAGGCTAGTTATCCTTCATCGAAAATCAAATTCCATTGAACTAATGTTGGGACTTAACAAACAAGGCATTTAGTGATTTTTATTTTTGTTTTTGTTTTTTTTTTGTACTCCCCCTTAAACTTTCTAGATGACCTATGTAGCAGGCTTTAGGCCGATAACTCCCAAATCAGACGACTTTAGGGCACTAAGTTTTGAGATACTTTTACAAGCTTAATAACCCAAGTTAAAAAGGCTTCGAAGAGAACAACGATTTTTTTTATTTTTAATTTAATTTAAATTCCTTTTTTGAGGACAACTTCATTTCTAATTACTTTCTAAATGACCTCTACAGCGAGCTTTAGGTTGATAACTCCCAAGTCAGACGACTTTAGGGCACCAGGTTTTAAGATATCTTTGCAGGCTTAATTACTCGGGTCATAAAGGCTTCAAAGAGAAGTTTTATATTTTAAAATATAAGCCTTAATTAGTGCAATGCCCCTTATCACACACCTATTCAAGTAAATCGATCTCCAGTTTAAGACTTTCTCCCAATTTGATCCTGTTAATCTAAGACAATCCACACAAAACTTTTTTTTTCACACAAGGAATCCACATTCACACCTGCATCTTCCTACAACAGTAGGATCACCCCCAAACTGTGTTAGGTTTGGTCTAAGGATAATTAGTTTAGTATAGTTTGGGTAAAGCATCTATGTCTAACTAAATCAATCTATCAAGAGCATGAAACAACTCATTTCATCACCTTGTCAAACCCAACTCTAGTACGCATATAATATTAAGTTTTGTAAGGTTAAGCTTCAATCAGTATAGCATGCACCCTATCAACAGTTCATAAATCAACACTAAATCTCAATTTTATTGTCATTGACAGCTAAACTGTCTAACCCATATAGGCACACAATTAGAAAAAATTTTAAAATGTTTTTCTAACTAAACACAAAAACATACGAAAACCAAAAACTCAAAATTTTTCCTGCCCCCAAACTTGAACCAGAAATTGTATTCAAAGTCATAAAGTATAAGCAAGTGCATAAGGGGTGGGGAAGAAAAGGAAAATGGTACTCCTCAAAGTTTTTCGTTGAATATGTGAGGTACTGTGGGTGACGGCTCGAAAATCTCTTTCATCATGCTTTTCCTTTATTCTATGTTGGTTTGAGTGTTCCACGACATCATGTTCCTGCACACAGTGCTTAAATTAAAGATCAAATAACCTAGAACATGTGTTATTTAGCCCAAATAATCGAAATAACCAACAACAATTTTAAGGGTCTAAGGTAAAACATAATAGGATGGTGATACCCTACAAAATTTAAATGTGCCTAAGTCTAATACAAACTAATAATCAAAATAAATCTACATGCAAATGTGGTGTAAAAAGTAAAATAAATAAAAGAATTAGAAGGTTAGGTTACCTCCCAATCAACGTTTAATTTATAGTCTTTAGCTAGACTATCATATTGATCATTTAGAGTCGTGAAGTTAGGTAAGTGACTTCTCTTTATCAAAGCACCACCCCATTATGCTTTCAACCGCCGCCCATTTACTTTGAAGGTTCCTTTTGTCTCGTGAGTTACTTCAACTGCCCCATGTGAAAAGACTTGAACAACTGTGAATGGACCAGACCATCTAGAACGCAATTTCCCAAGAAAAAGTTTCAACCTATAATTGATCAACAATACTTTTTGACCTGGGGTGAACTCACGCTTCTAGATATATTTATTATGCAATTTCTTTGTCCTCTCCTTATACAGCTTTATAGTTTCATAGGCTTCCATTTGAAATTCTTCCAATTCATTCAAGTGCAACATCTATTTTTCTCTAGCTGATGTTATGTCCATGTTCAACTGCTTTATTGCCCAATATACTCAATGCTCCAATTCCATCAGAAGGCGACAAGCTTTTCCAAATACAAGGTAATATGGTGACATGCCTATTGGTGCTTTATAAGCAGACCTGTATGCCCACGGTGCATCATCAAGTTGTCGTGACCAATCAATTCTTGAGCTATTCACTATCTTATTGAGAATTTTCTTTAGCTCCCTATTTGACACTTCTACCTGGCCACTTGTTTGGGGGTGATATGGATAGCAACTTGATGTTTTACCCCATATTTTGTTAGTACTAAATCCAAAAGCCTATTGCAAAAGTGTTTACCTCCATCACTGATGATAGTTTGAGTGGTACCAAAGCGCGAAAATTTATCCTTTTTCAGAAAATTCACAACCACTTGAGCATCATTCGTTGATGCTACTACTGCTTCTACCCATTTTGATACATAGACAACTGTCACTAATACGTACTGATTTTTATAAGAAGGAAATGGTCCCATTTAAATCGATCTCCCAAACATCAAAGAACTCCACTTCTAGAACCGAATTCAAAGGCATATCATTCTTTTTAGAGATCGTATCTATACGTTGGCATTGATCACAACGTTTCACATATTCATGTGCATCTTTAAATAGTGATGGCCAATAAAGCCTTGATTGTAAAACCTTCGCTACTGTCTTAGAAGGCCCAGAATGCCTAGCATAAGTAGAAGAGTGGCAATGTTCTAGAATTTGAGAAACCTCTTCATTTGGTACACACTTTCGGATGATTTGATTAGTACCCCTCTTGTATAAGATAGGGTCCTTCCAATGATAATATTTCAGCTCAGAAAAGAACTTCCTTTGGTGGTGCGTGAACTCAGGTGGAAGCACATTGCACGCCAAGTATTTCATTATGTCCGTATACCATAGCCCACTGTCAATTGTGAAGATACCCTTATCTGGGAAAGAGTCTTGTATATCGTCCTCGTCTTTCTATTCTACCTGTTCAAGTCTTGAAAGATGGTCTGCCACCACATTTTCACATCCTTTTTTGCCTCGAATCTCCAAATCAAACTCTCGAAGAAAGAGTATTCACTGAATCAATCTGGGCTTCATATCTTTCTTAGACATAGGATATTTCAGGGCCCTATGATCTGTGTAGACAATTATCTTCTGTCCCATGAGATAGGAACTGAATTTATTGAAGGCAAACACAATAGCCAATAGCTCATTTTTTGTTGTTGCATAGTTCAATTGTGCCTTTATCAAAGTCTTGCTCGCGTAATAGATTACATGGAAAATTTTATTCTTTCTTTGACCCAATACTATCTCCACTGCATAATCACTAGTGTCGTACATCAGCTCGAATGGTAGGTCAAAATCTGGTACAACTATAATTGGTGCAAAAATTAACTTTTCTTTCAGAGTGTTGAAGGCTGTCAAACACTCTTCAGAAAAGTTGAATTGTGTGTCCTTTTCAAGTAAATTACACAGCTGATTTGTGATTTTAGAGAAATCCTTAATAAACCTCCTATAGAACCCTGCATGGCCAAGGAAGCTACATACTTCCTTTACTGAAGTTGGCGGATGAAGCTTCTCTATCACCTAAATCTTTACTTTATCCACTTCGATACCATCTACTGAAGTCTTGTGCCCAAGTACAATTCATTCTTGCACTATGAAGTGACACTTCTCCCAGTTTAGCACCAAATTTGTTTCTTCACAACACTATAAGACCATTCTTAAATTTGAGAGGCAATTTTCAAATGATAAACCAAACACTAAAAAGTCTTCGATAAAGACTTTAATGATTTTCTTCACCTTGTCTGAAAAGATTGCCATCATCCATGGCTGAAATCTGGTATGGGTATTACACAACCTGAATAGCATCTTTCCGTATGCAAAAGTACCGTAAGGACATGTAAATTTAGTCTTCTTTTGATCTTCTGGTGCAATCTGATTATAACTCGAGTACCCATCCAAGAAACAGCAATGTGAATATCTAGCTAGTCTTTCCAACATTTGGTAAGTAAAGGGCAAAGGAAAGTGATCTTTCCTAGTTGCATTGTTCAGTTTCCTGTAGTCTATGCATACTCTCCATCCTGTGACAGGCCTTGTCGGTGTCAGCTAATTATACTCATTCTTTACCATTGTAATACCCCCTTTATTTGGAACAACATGGATTGGACTAACCCAATTTTTATCAGAGATTGGGTAGATGATGCATGTATCAAGGAGTTTCAATACCTCTGCTCGCACAACGTCCTTCATGGTAGGGTTCAATCTGTGCTGATTTTCTACTGTTGGCTTATACTCTTCTTCTATCATGATTTTGTGAATGGATATCAATGGAATGATTGCTCTGATGTCTGCTATATACTACCTAATGACTATTTTGTGTTCCTACAGAACCTTTAGTAATCTTTGCTCTTCCAACTTGGTCATCCCGTTTGCAATTATAACAGGGAGTGTAGATGACTCTCTTAAATAAGCATACATCAGATGTGATGGCAATTGCTTGAGGTCAAGATTGGTGCTTTTAAAACAAAAGGTAGTGGTTTACTAGGTCCTGAACCAAGTTCTTCAAAATGTCTTCTCCTAATGGGTGGAGCAAATTCCATAATGTAAGCAATCTAACTTAACTTATCTCTTCAATTGTTGATGTTTTATCTCGTGAGTGCACAAGAAGATTCTTTAAGTGGTCTTCCAAATCCACCACATCAATGCGCAGACATCTATCTAATTCTGTAGGATACTTAATAGCACTAATAATGTTGAATGTCATATGCTCATCATTTAATCGCAACATCAATTGTCCTTTTTGAACATCTATTAAAGCTCAACATGTCGCAAGGAACGGTCTTTCCAATATCAATGGCACATCGTTATCCTCTTCAACCATGTCCAGAATGACAAAATCTATAGGATAGATAAATTTATCAACCATTACCAGATTGTCTTCAGTAATTTTTTCTGGAAAATTTTATGGAACTGTCTGCAAACTACAATAAGACCGATGTTGCCTTTGCCTCTCCTAAGTTTAGTTTCCTGAAAATAGTAAGGCATATGGTTAATGTTAACACCTAAATCACAGAGAACCTTATCAAGTTTCATGTTACCAATAGTACAAGGGATAGTAGAACTCCCTGGGTTCTTTAATTTAGGTGGCAATTTATTCTACAAGATGACACTACATTCTTCATTCAGCATCACTGTACCTAAATCCTCTAACTTCTTCTATTTGTGAGTATTTCCTTCATAAATTTTGCATTCCTGGACATTTGTGCAAGTGCATCCCTAAATGGTATGTTGATCTGCAACTTTATGAATACCTCAAGAAACTTCGAGAACTGCTTGTCCAACTTATGCTTCTGTTGCCTATGTGGGAATGGGGGTGTTTTGTCCATTTCTTTGGCAGGAGCGGTTATCTTAAACTTTGGATCCTCTGGTGCTTCTTCTTATTCTTTGTTCGACACAAATTACCCCGAATACTCCTCAACTGTGGTAGGTACCTTCTCTTATGTAGCAACTGGCCTCTTTACATTTATTTCAGGTAGTTGTACCCCATTGCGAGTAGTTAAACCTTGCTGCGCTTCTTAGGATTTATTTTAGTATCACTAGGCAATATTCCTGGTAGTCTATCTGAAAGTGCATTGGCTATTTGTCCAATTTGATTCTCTAATTTTCTTATGGTAGCATCCTGAACTTGCAAGCTCTTATATGTTCGTTGCATGTGCTAAGTAGATATTTATGCTAATTTAGTCACAAGATCTTCTAGTGAAGATTTCTACTATTCTGCTGGAATTCGGGTGTTGCGGTCTACTATGGTGCGATCTGAGCTCCCTGATTATTACTCAATTGAAAGCCTGGGTGATTTCTCCAGCCTCGGTAATATGTGTTAGGATTTAGATTGTGTTGTTGCCTTTGAAAATTTTGGGTGTAGTTCACGTCTTCTACTATCTGAGCAAAAGGAATCCTACGTTACAATCAACACTCTCGTGGCTCTCTCCACAATGTTTGTATTTCAGTCCCACTGTCTGAGCTATCCGTATCTGATCTACCTTCTGTGTCAATGATGCCAATTGTGCTGAAATCGCTATCAAAGAATCAACTTCGAATAACCCAGCAGCTTTCTTTCCACTTGCCCTTTTAGTAGGTCAAAGTGCACTGGTAAATGCCAAATCCTCCATATTTGGTAGACCTGATCCACAGTGCTTTTTGTAATAAAACCATCACATGCAGAGTCTACTTAGCACTGCTAATCAGGTTCAGACCAATGTAGAAGAATTGCACCCGAAGCCACTTCTGTAATCCGTGTTATGGGCATTGGCGAAGTAAACCTTTGTCTCTTTTCGAAGCCTCTTATTAGTATTTTGAGTCCATTTGCTAAAAAGTAGTGACTCGTTCCTTAGCTTTTCAATCCTTTTTGGTGGAATATATTTGCTAAGGAATTTCTGACTCAATTGGTTCCAAGTTTTGATACTCTATGGTGGACAAGTGTCTAACCGTTCCCTTGCTGAGTCCCTCAATGTGTATGGGAAAAGCCACAATTTGGTTGCTTCACTAGACACCATCGGATACTCAATTATTGCACACATGTCCAAAAATCTTGATATATGAGCGTTGGAATTCTCTGTACCTCCCCTAAAGAATTGTAGCGCATTTTGGAATACGTTGATAACATCTGTCCTTAAGTGAAAATTTGCCTGACCAAACGTCGGATATATGATACTGGATTGGCTTTCCACTATCGGTGGAACCATATGTTCGGCCATGAGCCTTGCGATTTTCATTGGCTGCAATTATATTCGGTTGTACTACTCATGGATTAGCCCCAATGACTAGTTAATTTAGATTTTCCTTTGATCCATTTTTAGTCTAGTAGGCAGCTCGTTCCCTAATGCCGCTACTTTTCTTTATATGTATAATATATTTCTTGGTGCCCAATTATGAACACAAACTCAAAATCTTGCAGAGTGTTCATCTGTCTTACGGCCATTGATTTTTTTACCTATATTTATGCCATCTTTTGATATATTCTCAAGAACATCTATGACGGCATTGAACATACTAATAAACCGAGTAATTGTCAGTAGATATGAGTCCCATCTAGTTTAACCGGGGTGTGCCAAACTCATTTCTTGAAACTGACTAATTCCATCAGTAAGTTCCCCAATATTAAGCTTCTTCAAAATATCAGCATGATAACTTGCTCGAAGAGCATCTACATGCTTACATGATGCACCAACCAAATTCACAATAATAGCAAGCATGTTAAAAAAATCACCAAGCATTTCATCCGTACGTGCCACAGTAACAACCGCCAACTGAAACTGGTGAGCAAAGCAATGGATATATATAGCATATGGATTTTCTCTTAAAATTAAGGCTTTTAAGACATTGAACTTACCTGACATATTGCTTGCTCCATTATAACCTTGACCTCTCAGGCTAGATATGCTCAATCCATATGTAGAAAATATTGCATCAATGGCATCCTTTAGTGGTTGGACACAAGTATTAGTAGCATGAGAAATGCCCAACAAACACTCATTCACTTTCCCACTCTTGTCAACAAACCTCAAAACAACTGCCATTTGTTCTTTTATAGAATTATCACGAGTCTCATCAACAAAAATTGAAAACAAAGAATCACACATCTCATTGATAATAGCCCTTCTTGTCTCTACGACACAACAATTAACTAAATCCTTTTGGATGTTTGGTGAAATCATTTGGTCATTTCCAAGAGCGTTACTAAATAAGATTTCTTCAATTTCTTTACAACAAGCTGCATACCAATTTAATAGCTCAATTAAATTTTCTCTGTTAAGAGACTCTTTGGATTCATCATGACCACGAGATGGCAATCATTGCATCAAGGGAAATCTAGTACAATCTAACACCGCAGTCAACCTTGTCCTATAACTATTTTGTTGACTACTACTCTAGCTAGAAATAACATAGGAGATACTTTGTTTTTGATTCATCAAATTGGTACACTTTGGAAAAGCTAGATTATGGGCACTATCAAAGAGCCCAACATGATCTTTCAATGTCTTTTTGTGCTTCCAATCCCTAAAGCCGGTCTTGGTGAATATATGTTCACCCCCTTGACCCCCTCTATCAGGTTTGAATAAGTAGCAATGCAAATAATAAGCCGCATCCTTTTCTATACTATACTCTATCCAATGAAATTCAAAAAACCATTCTTTCCGAAAACACCTATTATCATTTCCCATCGGTCTTCTTGGAAAGTCGTGCCCATATGGTTGACAAGGACCTTTATCCAAGTATGTCATCCTAACATCATTTCAATATTAGGATCATATGACTCGATAGGGGGACGTTTCCCTACATCATATACAAGATCATCCATATTGAATTGAGCTCGAGACTTCTTTGTGTTATTCAACAATACGCGTGCTCGACTAGAAGCAGTGGCCGGACTAGAAGCACAACTAGAACTAGAAAAACTAGGTATCGACTTCCATTTCGGTTGAAAGAATCGATCCATACTCTGTAAAATGCCCCCAATTTAATTTTCAATTAAAATTGATTAAAAAATCACAATTCTTAGTAATAATTTCTAAATCCTAATTTCCTTGCAACGACTATAAGAATTAAACATTGATCCACTATCACTAATAACTAATAACCAGGGGCGGATCTAGGTTCCAGTTTCAGCTAGGGCGGTTGACTTTGACCATTAATCGTTGATCATCGATAATCAACGATCGTATTAACATATGATTAATTAATATTAAAAATTATTCGATATATATGTAAGCATTATATACATATGAAAATATAGTTCAATACAACCCAAAATACTAAAAAAATATACGATACAACCTTACTCTGTAACTGTAAACTTAGACAATTGAATTCTACAGGATCTCATATTTTGAAAACATTGTAATATTGCCTCATTCTCAACTTTTTCAAAAAGATCTTTCTCCACATAAACCACCAAATGGTCATTCAATGAGTCATCTCCCATTTTGTTGCGCAAGTCACTCTTGATTAAATTTACAGTGGAGAATACCATTTCAACACTTGCAGTTGCCACAGGTAATATCAAAACCAAGGTGATCAACCTATAAACCAATGGAAAATAACAATTACTTCCAGTTTCAACCAACTTCTGAGCTACACAAAATATGCATTTTAGGTTGAAGAAAGCTTCGTCCATCCTCATAAATATAACAAAATTGTCAAGTTCAGGTCTAAGTAATAAAAACTCTTCACTATTCAAGTCCAAATGATAGAACTGGGCAAGACGTACCAATTTAGCCTAATCAAAAGTTACAAATGAATCTCTTGGATTTAAACACGAAATCTAATCAAAGAGCTCAGTAGTTGTTTCTCAAAAATTCTTGCAAGATTGAGTCTATCACATGACAAAACAAATCAACATAAAATCGATGATAATAAGTCACCTGTTGAGCTGCATGCCTAGGTCGACCTTTCAATACTACAATATCTTCCGTATTGGGCACTGAAATATGTCTATCAACATAAAACTCAATAACCTTAATCAACAAGTATCCCAACCATTGTTTCTCATATTCTGCAATGCGTACTTACACAACTTCAATAACCTCAGAATATTTCGAATATCTTGATCTTTTTTTGTATGGCTTGTGAAAGGTTGTTTGTAATTGCAAGAATTTCAAACATAAGTGGAGACTGAACACAAACTCAAAATCTTGCATAGTGTTCATCTATCCTACGGCCATTGATTTTTTACCTATATTTATGCCATCTTCTGATATATTCTCAAGAACATCTATGACGGCGTTGAACATACTAATAAAGCGAGTAATTGTTAGTAGACGTGAGCCCCATCTAGTTTTACCTAGGCGTGCCAAACTCATTTCTTAAAACTGACCAGTTCCATTAGTAAGTTCCCAATATTAAGCTTCTCTAGAATATCAGCATGATAACTTTCTCTAAGAGCATCTACATGCTTACATGATGCACCAACCAAATTCGCAATAATAGCAAACATGTTAAAAAAATCACCAAGCATATGATTCGTACGTGCCACAGTAACAACCGCCAACTGAAGCTAGTGAGCAAAGCAATGGATATATATAACATTTAAAATTAAAGCTTTTAAGCCATTGAACTCACCTGACATATTGCTTGCTCCATCATAACCTTGACCTCTCAAGTTAGATATGCTCAATCCATATGTAGAAAACATTGCATCAATGGCATCCTTCAGTGATTGGGCACAAGTATCAGTAACATGAGAAATGCCCAACAGACGGTCCTTCACTTTCCCATTCTTGTCAACAAGTCTCAAAACAACTACCATTTGTTCTTTTATAGAATTATCACGAGTCTCATCAACCAATATTGAAAACAAAGAATCACCCATCTCATTGATAATAGCCCTCCTCATCTCTACGACACAACAATTAACCAAATCCTTTTTGATATTTGGTAAAGTCATTTGGTCATTTCCAGGAGCGTTAATAAATAACACTTCTTCCATTTCTTTACGACGAGCTGCATATCAATTTAATAGCTCAATTAAATTTCCTCTGTTAAGAGACTCTTTGGACTCATCATGACCACAAGATGGCAATCCTTATATCAAGAGAAATCTAGTACAATCTTGCACCGCAGTCAACCTTGTCCTCTAACTATTATGTTGACTACTACTCTGGCTAGAAATAACATAGGAGATACTTTGCTTTTGACTCATCAAACTAGTACACTTTGCAAAAGCTTGATTATGAGCACTATCAAAGAGCCCAACATGATCTTTCAATGTCTTTTTGTGCTTCCAATCCCTAAAGCCAGTCTTGGTGAATATATGTCCACCCCCTTGACTCCTTCTATCAGGTTTGAACAAGTAGCAATGTGAACAATAAACAACATCCTTTTCTATACTGTGCTCTAAACCAATGAAATTCAGAAAACCATTCTTTTCGAAAACACCTATTATCATTTCCTATCGGTCTTCTTGGAAAGTCGTGCCCATATGGTTGACAAGGACATTTCTTCAAGTATGCCATCCTAACATCATCTCTGATATTAGGATCATATGACTCGATAAGGAGACATTTCCCTGGATCAGATACAAGATCATCCACATTGAATTGAGCTCGAGACTTCTTTGTGTTATTTAACAACACGCGTGCTAGGCTAGAAGTAGTGGCTAGACTAGAAGCACAACTAGAACTAGGAGAACTAGGTATCGACTTCCGTTTCGATTGAAAGAATCGATCCATACTCTGCAAAATGCCCCCCAATTTATTTTTCAACTAGAATTGATTAAAAAATCACAATTCTTAGTAATAATTCTTAAATCCTAATTTCCTTTGCTATGACTATATGAATTAAACATTGATTCACTATCACTAATAACTAATAACATGTACAAAACTCAAGCCAGTCAATACTTCAAGTCTCCAAATCTCCAACAGAGTCACTCAACTCAAGTCATCCAAGATTCCAAGTGCTCAACAAACTCTCAACACCGTCATGCATCAACATACAACAAATTGAACAAAGGGCCAACAAATTGCAGTTGCACCAACACAATTGTACAAATCAACAAATACAATACGTCAAGTCATCAACACAGTAACACTCAATTTCTCAACACTCAACACACAATAAAAAAGTCAATAGACAACAGAGACAGAATTCAGACAGCCAAAACAATTCAATTAACCAAATATTCAACTCTTCAACTTTAAATATTGAACTTAATAAACTTTAACTCACCAATCACCAATGCTGCAGCCTACAATGCACACTGCTGGCTGCTCGTGCTTGGCCTCGCCATTCGCTTCAGACTTCGGAGTCTGTCCTTGGTCTGGTCAAAGCAGACGGAGATTCGTCCCCAACTCTAAGACTTCACACACAGCACACTGGCATGCACGTTCACTGGCTCACTGCCTCCATCTGGTGCTACTTCTTTGAATGGAAATTGAGGGGTAAGTGGGTAACTGGTTTCTATATAAGGGAAGGGACCAAGGATTTGCTTGCCATTCTTCAGAAGGATTTTGGGGCTGATTTTAGGTTCGGGAGTTTGGAGAAATATCAATTAAAACCAATATATCAAATTATCCATGGACCGTCCATTTGAATGGATCCAATTTCCATATTTGGGCCAATTTTTTTTTTTTTTTAAATAGGCCCAATTTCAGTCAGATTAGCCCAAAGAAAAAATGAAAAAAGGGGCCATCTTCTTTTCTTTTAGTTTCGACTGAAACTGAGTTCCTCCATCTACAATTGCTGTGCGTAGGCGCGTCTGCTGCGAACCCGACGGCCACTAAATTGACTGAAGACTCTGGCGAAGCCAGCATGCGTGACCGTGTTCCCTCGTCGAGTGCTGGCTCCGCCCCTACTAATAACTTGTACAACACTCAAGCCAGTTAACACTTCAAGTCTCCAAATCTTCAACAGAGTCACTTAACTCAAGTCATCCAAGATTCCAAGTGCTCAACAAACTCTCAACAGCGTCAGGCATCAACATACAACAAATTGAACAAAGGGTCGGCAAATTGCAGTTGTACCGGCACAATTGAACAAATCAACAAATACAATACGTCAAGTCGTCAACATAGCAACCCTCAATTTCTCAACAGTCAACACGCAATAAAAACCGTCAAGAGACAACAGAGACAAAGTTGAGAAAATTAGAATTCAGACAACCAAAACAATTCAATTAACCAAATATTCAACTCTTTAACTTTAAATATTGAACTTAGTAAACTTTAACTCACCAATCACCAATGTTGTAGCCTACAATGTACACTGTTGGCTGCTCGAGCTCGGCCTTGCCATTGGCCTCGGACTTCGAAGTCTGTCCTTGGTCTGGTTGGAGAAGATGGAGATTTGTCCCTAACTTTAAGTCTTCGCACACAGCACACTGGTGGTACACGCATGTTCATCGGCTCACTACCTCCATCTGGTGCTACTGCTTTGAATAGAAATTGAAGGATAAGTAGATAACTGGTTTCTGTATAAGGAAAGGGACCAAGGGTTCGCTTGCCATCCTTCACAAGGATTTTGGGGCTGATTTTAGGTTTGGGAGTTGGGAAAAATATCAATTAAAACCAATATATCCAATTATCCATGGACCGTCCATTTGAATGGATCCAATTTCCATACTTGGGCAATTTTATTTTTATTTTTTTATTTTTTTTAAGTAGGCCCAATTTCAGTTAGATTAGCCCAAAGAAAAAATGAAAAAAGGGGTCGTCTTCTCCTCTTTCAGTTTCAGCTCAAACTGAGTTCCTCCATCTGCAATTGTTGTGCAGGCGCGTCTGTTGCC